AAATTATGAAACAACAGTAATATATCAATAATTGTTGCATTCCCCAAACATTCAGCTTTCATAAAAGTAATTTGACAGGACACGATGTTTTGACAAATTGGAACTTTACACGGTTATTTGATAGTATTTATATTTGCTCTGATTACAGGAAACGATTTATATTGGGGTACTTTTGTTTTATTTTTCATTTTTCTTAGTTATATGAAGTCGTGTTTAATAATTAGGGATTATTATTGGGCGGCGGCTGCGGGCGTCGCGACGCTTTTCTATTTATATATAGATGGAAAGGAGAGAGGAGTAGTATCCGGTGTACGAAAGACACTATTCGGAAGTTGCTTTTTGTGAAACCCTTCTTCTTCTTCTCCTTTTCTCCTCCCACTCTTCCAACATCTGTCTTACGTATGCAAGTATATGTGCATGTGTGTGTGAATGTGAATATAAATAAAAGGGAGGAGAGTTGATGACCTCAAACGCAACAAACTACGATGACCGTGTGGAATAGCATATTAATAACCGAACCAAAATAATGGTCATCATCATCATCATCAATCCTTTAGCCACTTAAGGTCTAGGCTGTGCAACGATGATTGTATTTGATGGAACTACTACTGTTGTCTCATCCTCGTGCCGCCTCCAATATCCAATTAAAATCCTCGTCGTCTGCATCTCTTCTAATGCCCCAGAGTTCACACCTCTCTCCAAATCTATTAAAAGGCTTCTCCACTTAAGACTAAACAGAAAACCACTGTAATTTCGAGTCGAGGCACCGTTTCACATCACAAAATCCAATTGAAAATTTATTAGTAACAATTCTTATTGGTATTTTATAGTTTACATAATTTATGTTTGATAAATAAATTTATATTCCAATGTTGGTAATTGGATTATAATAAGCAGACTTTCAACTGAAATATTGATATTATAATAAAGTAACCAGATGTTACCAACCTATATTTAGTGACCGCATATTCGACGACGGCAACCTATAAACCCATTTACTCTATACGAAACAATGCCAACTGATGTTTTCTAGATATGCGATAAAATGATAAAGTCTCTGTTTTATGGATCGTTTAAAACGTTGAGTTGTGTTAATTAGATATAATTTAAGTATATTAATTACTGAAAAAATGTTAGACAGATATGAAAATATGTCGAAAATGTCTTCATTAATTTAGAATTCGTACAGATTTCGTTTCTCAAACGTCGGCGAAGTTTACAAAATAAACGTCAAAAGGAAACGCTTTTAGAAAAGCGGAGGAAACACTTGTTTCCATGGACAACAGAAACAAAATAATTTGATTTATAGTTGAATGCGAAGTAATTTTATATAATGTACACGATTTTCAACGACGTTGTCTAAAGTTAGACGAATACATGAATCACATGTGGAGGAGAGCCCTTTTAACAGGAAATTCAATACGACACGAGTTCGTAATCCCATTCGTATCCAATTTTACGTGCGGTGGATGTAGACGGAAAGAAGAGATGAGGATGGAGAAAAAAAAAAAAGAGTACTTTTCCGAGAAGTTTGAGGGGTGCGCGCTCGCGTTTTCGGGAAACAAAATTTATTTACGGAAACTTCGATTTCAGACAAAAGTTTTAAAGTTTGCCATGATATTCGGTTTGAAAGTTGCATACAAATAGATGTTTAAATAAAATGAAAAGAATGCAAATTGAAAATTTAACAAATTTCAATTCTAATGAATGAGAATTTTAAGTGTAATAATTATTATCGTTGAAACTTTATTTTGAGTAAAGTTGGAAATAAAAGTATCCGGTGTGCCAAGACTTCAGTCCGCGTACTTTATTATTCACGTGGCCGTGCGTTTAAGTGTGTGTGTGTGTGTGTATCGACGTCGCGACGTTAGGCGTCTAAGAAAAGTGAGTTAAAAATAAATACTTGTGGTTTTGCTATGACTGCGGCCGAGAGTGAGTAGTCCGACAGAGTGTGCCTTCCTTCCCCGTAGTGCTCGTGCTTTTAAATACTCTCAGTTCCACGTCTACTACACGCATTGAAACAATAAAAAAAAAACAACCGACAACATCAATAACAACAACAAACAACAAGGTTGGAAAGAAAAAGAAGAAAAACGTAACCAAGGAGAAGTGAAGATGCAATAAAGATCCGAGCAGTCGTCGAACAAGAGGAAGGACCAATCTGTGATATGTTGTTTGTTGTTGTTATAGTTACAACGTGCGCGTGTTGTTCGGTGTCTTAATTTAGACAATCTCCGTTTTATTTTTTTTTTGCTGGCAACGAGAAGAATTTGTGCTGGTGCGACAAATAGAGAAATGTTGATGATTCGTTCTTCATGATCCGAAGGAAAGGGAATAAAAGGGTCAACAGGTTCATGGGAATTCGTGAACGCCCTCTGTTCTTCATCATAAAATTACGCGCGTGATTACTATTGTTTCTTTGACAAGTGGATTCTTTGATCGAATTTGCATCTTTTCTCGATTGTTGTTATTGAAGGATTGACGAGACAAAGACAATGCTGGAATGTTTTCCTCTTTCTCGAAGCTGAGGCCGCGCACGAGGAGTCTGTCCTCGGACATCCATTGCGACGCTTTCGAGGACGGCTTCGGCCTCTGCAGGACGCCAATCGGCTCACCGAAACAAAAACGCAACAAGAAACGTAATTGAACTTCAGTTCAAATTTTAACTTCAATTCATTGATTTACTAACTGAATAGAGTAGATGATAAATTATGATTTGTTGTATTTTGTATATTTTTTTCTTGTTTTTAGGTAATTCCGAGTTGGAGCCATGTCCGAGTATTCAGTCGCTGCGATCCGGTTCCGTGGCTTTGGGAAGCGACCAGCTGGCACCTGGCGATCGCATCCACAGCGTGAACGGGATAAATACCAGCAGAATGAGGCCGGAGGAGGTCTCCACGCTGTTAGATAACGTCGACGGGAATGCTCTCCTGGAAATCGAGTACTGCCTACCTAGTTATGGTAAGTTCGCTGCATTTACTCTTAGTAAACGAGCACGTAGTGCACCCACACTGTGTCTGATATAAAACATGCACGTCTGTCAGGTGTACCAACGTTAACAAAGATTATGTATACTTTAGTTAGTATGTATATAGTGTCTAAGAGATATATTTTGTATAGATACATTAGTACAGCCTTTTCCAAACTGTGAGGCGCGCCTCCCTGAGGAGGCGTGAACTACTCTAAGAGGAGGCGATATAGATACATAGATACATTCCTGTGCTCTTATCCATATTGCTGTAATACGCGAAAAAGCAGTGTTTTCACATTTCATTGATTTACTCGAAAACTGTAATAGATAGAATGAATCCGAAAGATGCACATGAAAGCTGAATGTTTGGGGAATCTAGCAAGTATCGATGTATT